ATTACGGCAATAACTTAACTGCAGACCACATGTACACTTGTGCTCTTTCAATTTGTAATAACTATAAAATGTAAAACTGGTTATGTCTTTGGACTTCTGCAAATAAAGTCCAGAGTCCTTGGTATGGTCTAGAAGGCCCTACATTATCTGACCTGCCTTCTTTCCCAATCTCATCTTGACCCCTCAGAGCCAGACACTCAGGCATATTAAACACCTTCCCGTCTGCCTCATAGACGCCTATCCTTCGGTTTTTAGCTCGACCATCACCTGTCTGCAGTATTTCTGAATTCTCTGCCCACATTGTACTTTCATATGTATCTTTCACCTTTAGTGGTTTGTACTTATGCCTGGTCTAACTAGATTGTCTCCCTATAATAGATTCCTTGATTCAACAAAGGAGCTCTGAATCAGCCTGAAACCTATGGCACCTTGCAAAATGGCAAACATTCAGTATGTATTTGCCCAGTAAATGTTAATGAAAGGAAAAAATTTCACACTTCAATCAGAATAGGATTAGAGCTAAGTTAATGTTTCCTATAGAAATCTTCCTTATCATAAATATCATCCTAAATGTCCTGAGTCCTCCCATAGGTCTAATTTACCAAATCATGAAGACTCTCTTTCTGACTGTATGTGTGTAGTGGGAAAGGCAGAACATAGTGTTGTCTTTTTTTTTTTTTTTTTTTTCTTGGCAAGTCTCTCTATCGTTTTTCTGGGGATGAAATCTCAGGCTGTGTAGCTTTTCTGGTCCCTTTTTGGCAATCAACAAGTCATCAGTTTTTCTAGCTATTAAAAAGTCCACACCTTTGAAATATCAAGATGCCAAACTCTCTCCTAACTGAAAATATAATTCTGCCTCTTACTGATGCCTTTGGGTGGGAAGCTTAAAGATAGCAGTGTGGGGCTATTGGTTTTCCTTTTCCTCCCTCCACCTCCTTTCTCATTCCAGAGCTGTTGGTGCCCTTTCTGGAGGCGAGAGAATTAGAAATAAAGATCCTGCCTTATCCAGTCAGTTAATTATGACTTTGAGCCAGGGTGGGGAGTGACTTTCTCTCCTGGAATACACCCTGCTGAGAACCACAGCTGAGATTCTCTAAGCTGGCAGTTTCCAACCTCTCCCTCCCTCAACAGCTTCAACATTATATGGCACTCAGCTGCAGGGTGCCCACTTGTGCAGAGTAGTTTTCAAGATGGCTCATATCCCATCTCTTTCAATGACCAGTGTGGCCTATGGAAAACATACATCTTGACTCCATTATTGGTGGGAGTACTCTGTAGTTAGCTGCCACAGGCCACTTCATGTACCTTTTACCCCAAGACCCTTTTCAGAGAGTCAGGTACCATCCCCGTGTCCCCCAACATCTAAAGACCACAGGTGAAGGTCTCCAAGTAGTTCACTTAAAAAATACCTCAGTAGATTTAAGATCAGGGAAAGCTACCAATTGATGAGACCAGTATGACCCTGATCCCAAAACCAGACACAGATATAATAGGAAAACTACAGACCAATATTCCTTATAAATATAGATGCAAACACTCTAAACAAAATATTAGCAAACGAACTCCAGCAGCATAGAACAAGGTTTATGTAGCATGGACAACTAGATTATCCCAGGAATGCAAGGTTAATTCAATAAACAAAAGTCCATTAATGTAATACAACATATTAAGCGAATAAAGGACAAAACATGACAATCTTGATACAGAAGCAACATTTAATAAAATCCATGACCTTTCCTTTTTTGATAAACACTCAGTAAACTAGGTTTAATAAAAGAATTTCCTCAACTTGAAGCAAACCCACAGCTAACATCATACTTAATGGTGAAAAACTGAATGCTTTCCCCCGAAAATCAGGAACGAGAAAAAGATGTTTGCTCTTGTCACTTCTGTCCAATATTGTACTAGAGGTGCTAGTCAGCACACTAAGACAAGAAAATGAAATAATAAGAATCCAGACTGGAAAGGAAGTAAAAGTACTTCTGTTCACAGGTGAACGATCTTATATGCAAAAAATACTAAGTGACCAAAAAAAAAAAATTTAGAAAAGCTACAATATACAAGATCAATATACAAAAATCAATTTTATTTCTAACACCAATGACGAACTAAAAAAAATAAAAATTAGAAAATAATTATAGTGGCATCAATAACACTTAAGAGGCCAAGACTTGTACAATGAAATCTATAAAACATCACTGAAACTAAAAACCTAAGCAAATGCAAAGACATCCCACAGTCATGGAATAGAAAACTCAATACTGCTAAAATAGCAGTTATTTCTCAAATTTATCTACCAATTCAACTAAATCCCCATCAAGATCCTGGCTGTTTTGCAGGAATTGACACGATGATCCTAAAATTCATACGAAATGCAAGGGACCCAAAATAAAATGATTTTGGGAAAAAAATTTGGAGGATTCACATTCCAAATCAAAACTTACTGCAAAGCTACAGTAATCAAGACAGTGTGGTATTGGTATATAGGACAACGGAGTAAGACTGCAAATCTAGAAACAGTCTTCTATTTATGGTCAACTGTTCTTTGACAAGGGTACCAAAACCTTTTATGGAGAAATAATAATCTTTTCAACTGGTGGTTGGGCAGCTGGATATACAGACACCAATGCACTTATGCAAAAATGGATGAAATAGGAAGTTTCACTAAACTTCTGCTGCATGCCGGGTCATTTTCAATCATTTAGGTGGCCACACTTAAAAAGCAACAGAAGATGGAAGCAGTAACATGTGAAAGGCAAAATGATTTAAAAGAATGAGTCTCTATCATGAATTTACTTATACTCCAGGCAAAGGTTATTAAAAGAAAAAAAAAAAACCTTAGAAAATTCCTTAAGAATCCCAGTGACTCCTCACTGTTCAACTAAGAAATGTACCTCACCATGCCATGCTACCATGGAAGCATTGGAGGCACTCTGGGGGTCGATGAAGTCTTCATGGGTGAGGTACTTTAACAAGCTGGTCATGGGAGTATTTGAAAAACATAAAATAAGCATGACAAGTGAAGATGCTGGGTAGGAATGCAGGGAGAAAAATGTGTCATACAAGGCAAAGCTGGAAAGGTCAGTGAGGGGGCAATCTGGAGGCACAGAATGCGGAGGATATTAAAATTAGCAAGATGGTGTTCTGGCACAATGAAAAGGATTGGGAGAGGGAGATCAGAGTCAGGGAGTTAAATTACGCAGCTGCTAAGAAAGTCCACGTAAGTCAGAGGATCAGGGACCTGTTAAGAGCATTATAATAAAGGAGGAATGACGTCAGAAGTTTAAGGGGAAATAATTGACGACCTGTGACAACTGAGGAATGAGAGATTTTGGTGACTGGGGTGAAGGTGACACTTCTTAAAAAAAAAAAAAAAAAAGAGTAGTCGATAGAGAAGCAAGATGAAGAGTTTTTAGGCGTACTGACTTTGAGGTAACAAATCCTGGAGATGGAGGTCTGAGCAAAAGATAAGGAACAGGGGAAGAATCTTTGGGAGTGACTGAGGTTGATCGGAGACAATAGGCAAGAACAGGTAAGAACTTTAAGCAGGAAAGGAAAAAAAAAAAAACAAAAACTTTAAGCGGAATTGGAGGAGTAGCCATCCAAAATCTGGTAAGCTGTGAAAGAAAAATAGCAGCCAGAGAAGCAGCAGCTGAAGGTAGGGTGTTGTCAAGGTTATGGTTAAGTGTTATTGATATTGGCAATGAGGTGGTTATAAAGATCCTGAAGACTGTACTTTCACTCAAACCGCACTGGATTAGCAGCCTTTCACAGTGAGATCTACCCCACACCTGCATCCATCTTGCAGTGGCTGTTAACAAATGCCCACTCACTTACCCGGGAGGGGACAAAAGACCTGGGACTCTGCACTTGTGAAACCCTCTGCCCTTCCCAGGCAATTCTTTCCACACTAACACTGTGAGGTAGAAGGATGTATGACAAGTGAGGGAGCAAATGGAAGCTGTGTTTTTGGTTTTTTAGTGGCCCAGGAAGGGTGGCAAGGGTACAGATGGCCCTTAGATAGGCACTGGTGGAAGGTCAGGAAAAAAAAAAAAAAAAAAATTGCGGTAAGCAGGTAAAAGGGTTGGGATGAAGACCACACAGGGACTAGTCTTGGGAAGACATTTTTTCCTCTGACAATTCGTATGGAATTATTGAGAAAAATTCCTCAAAGGGGCCTGAAATCTCAGAATGGCATGTTTTTAATGCAACAGGGAGTGATGCTGCCCCATTACAACCATCTGTTCTAACAGAATGTCTGTACCGAGGAGGGATGAATAACATCAGCAAATTGTTTGAAGCCTCATTTTCAAGTTTCCTTTTGATACGTATCTCCCTATACAGGCAAGCATCCCCAAAAGTAGTCTGAGGAAAGCAGGGTTATCTTAACCAGCTCATTTGCTGGAGCTGCCAGGGTCCAAAAAAGTTTGGCGGCAGGCTGTTTCCGTAAGTTTTATGTTTGAAATGTTCTATCATAATACAAGGTAGAAAAAAGTTTACATACCAATTACTTAGATTTATGGTTCCTTTTTTCCCCTGCAGCGCTTCCTGGAGATTGAGGTCTAAGTCAAAGAAAACCAAAATATGTAATAGAGTACCTGGGCAAAAAAGTAACTTTTATAACCTAACATTTGGGGGAGATGGAGTATCCACTACAGCCAAAATTTCTGTTCTCCTCCTCCTCCTGAAAATATTGTTCAGGGACATTCCATTAAATAATAATGAAAAGGCAGTGAAAGTAAGTGAAGTGATAACAGGCCCTGCATAATTAAGCAAGCTAAATTACCAGCTAGTCTGTGCAACCAATGGTTTTTTTTTTTTTCCTCTAAAATTTTAAGGGTAGGTTCACTTTGACTCTTGGTTAACAAAGTTTATTTGATGTGAATTCTGCATCTGATAACCTATTTCAATTACCACTTTAAAATTTGTCATAGGGATATAATACTACAATTGCAGATCTTCAATACCGTAATAATAAAACTGGAAAACTGAAGAGCACGCATTTCTTCACGAATTTATTATATAAAACGCCCTCAGAGTATTTAATTTCTCCTCACTTTCATTACACATTAAGAAGCACAGTGGATGAGAAGCCTTTAAGATGACTACAGTTGCACGAAGGTCCCTTTCATCAAGGTAGCACACGTACCTTAACAGGCTGGCCCAGAAAAACCCCATGTTACCTTATCACAATATGGAAAGCATTGTCTTTTTTTTTTCCCCACTAAATAATGGTGAAAAGTGCCACAGTTTTATTTAGCATTATGGTACATAACAGTTCTGTTTCAATTATGAAAAAAATTAAAATAATCCTGAAAGACATCCTTTTTCTCCCCCCAATGATTTGAAAGCTGCATTTTTCCTGCCAATTTCAAACAAATCATCAGGTTAATCTCCAGTAATCAGTTAAAACAATCACCAAGGCACAAGCTCAGCACATTAGCTATAGCTTGTAGCAAAAGGATATATCAATGTCTCACCTTAGTTAAAAATACATAATCCTTTTATTTTATAATGCAATAAAAGAAATTAACATCACATACACAGAAGACTAGGAAAGGGGAAACTACTTACTTCTGAAAATCCAGTAATGTAAACCTATTTGTACTTTTCCATAGTACATGAAAGTAACGTTTAACATGTTTTGAATTAAATTTAACCTGTGGGGCTATACAGTGTAATCGTAGGAGTAATAGTTTCATTCAGTTCCAGGTCAGCTTACGTATGATTAAGTAACACAAGGCACAGTAGCCATCTTTTTCATTATGTTGCAACACTGATCACGTGCCTCGATAAAATGGCTGATTTAACAAGATGATGGCAACACGAAGGGGAGACTTTGGATTGTCTATTTAAAATCTAGGTAATAAGCAATTAATAAAAACTCTATCTTAAGTGCACTTTCACATGCTTTTTGTTTATAATAAACAACAAACTTCCTAACTTTGTTGTAATAGGCTTGACTACCATTTCATTTGGCCAAATGCACTTTCCCCAGTAAACTTAAAATAACAACAAGAACAACAAGAACAAAAATCCCTGTCCTTTCATATACTAAGAAAGAGGATTGGCTACTGAAACAGTTCATTGCAAGACACATGAAAACATACTGTGGCATGAGTTGTTTTTAATTTGTTGTGCTGTTACTAAAGTTCTGAGGGCTGCAGTTAAAACATTCCAATTTCTCCCTTCCATCTTTATTGATTCTCAAGATTTTGCACAGAAAACTCTTTGGGGGCTAGAACAGCAGTAATCGCATCACACTGTTTTCAGGACTTCAAGTTTCAAAAGCAAATCATTAAAAAAAAATACAGTTCCTGATTTGAGTTAGATACAGGGACAAAAAAGTAGCACATACTTGAAGGTTACATGGTCTACAAATGGTGGCAATATTTTCCTTGGGAGAGTAGTTCTGTTGGTATATATTTTTTAAATACTCAAAAGGCTCAACCTCAAGCAGTAATAAACACAAGCAAAAGTGATTTAACCCTTAAAATAAATATTCAGAAAAACCTCTCTGTACATACAAGTGAAAGAATATGTAACACTTTCACGCAAAAAAATAATTATAATAATAATAAAGGATTTGTTCATATATGTAGCTGAAATCTGCTGTTCCAGCCCATATGTCCCCAATAAAGAAGGGAGGCACAGACATAGGTGACTCTGTGGTTCACTATCTTACAGCCTTTTTGTACTGGGACACTATCACCACCAAAATTTATCCCTCATTATATTTTTAAATTTTTTTAAAAATTTTTTCTTTTTTTTTTTCCTTCCTTTTTTTGTTTTGTTTTGTTTTGTTTTGTTTTGTTTTACAGCATGCCAAATCCTTTGGCATATGTGATGGCCTTCAACAATCTCTCTTTAAGTTTTTCTTTGCTTGAATATTCCGGAAGTAAAAGCACATTAAAGCAAGTATGAGATGTAGGTAACCTAAATAGAGAGAAGGGGAAAAGAAACAGGAAAATAGTTAAGTCACGGGAAATACACTTAGAATTAAATGCTCCTATTTTTAGATGGTATATGTAGTTGAGATGGTTTGCAATGCAAACTGTACATTAATGCAAATCGTAAACGTTTTGTTGTGTAACTACCAAATATCAGTTTGTCTTTATCCTATAAATTACTCAAAGGTAGTGATGATGATGATGATAAGATGCTGCATCCATTGAGTTATTACTACATACCAGATACTGTTTTAGGCAATTAATTCTTACAGTTCATTTAAACTAAATCTTTCCACAACCAAACCACAGAGAGGACATTAGTAGCATTTTAGAGGTTAGGTTATTGGGAAGTTAAGCAACTTCCTCTAAGGTGGAGAAAATAATCAAACTGGTTTACAAGATTTTAAAGTGTGGGCTCTTAAATGCTTATTAGAGATACTGCTGGCAATATGATTATGAAAATGGTTTCATAACAGGATTCTAGCATAATCGAATAACAGTCTTCTAAGCCTCAATTTAACCATTCTAAATAGATTATCATATAATAAGCCTTTAAATTAACAAGCTGGGAATCAAAAAAGTGAATGAATCATACTAATTTGAAAAATTCCAAACCCATGTGAGCTCCATAATAATTTTTAACTAGGCCAATTTTTTAAAAGTTTCCTCACACAATGACAGCAAAATATTTTCTCAACTGTTTAATATGATCTGGAGATTTGTATATAAAATCACGGATGTGCTTAGAAGCTACAAAGACAGTTCATGCGTGTATGATGGGGAATGGAAGGTTTTCGGTGGATATATAGTTACAACTTGATAATTACCTTTCCGTGTCTGGGCCATTTTTGGCTATAATCATCTTTAATTTTCCTAGTCCTCCCACAGGTGCTCTGTCTGTGCCTGTGGTAAATTGCAAGAAGAGTCTTTTCTGTTCATCTGTAAATGAATGAACGATTTCCCAGAACTCCCTAATGAGAAGAGACACAATACTGGTTTCAGCTTGGCATTCATTATAACTGGTACTAATATGAACGTATGATTCAAACTAAAACTATATTAAGAGGCAACTTGGAAGTTAATATCAGGAACACTTCTGGTGACTGAATAATTTCCAAGCAAATTTTCCTTAAACAGTTCTGAATACATAAAAATTTAGGATTACAATAATATAGTAAAATATTAGTAATACAGTAGTAAAAAAATTGAGAAAACCCAAGTGTGTAACAACAGGAAGTGACTATGTAAACTATGTTATAATCACTGCATGTAGTCAGTAATGAACAAAAGATAAAATCCTATGAACTGAAAAAGACTGAAAGGAATATTGTGAAAAAACTCCAGGTGCCTTTGGGTATATGTTTTATTTATCCTTTCTCTTTTATTCTCCTGCTCTACTCATCCTTTAACTCAACTTTGGGAGGAAAAAGTGATACAGATTAAGTACAAAAGAAAAAAGAGCCTCCCGCCCCGCAAACCCACCCGGCCCCAAATCCAAACAACCACATACCTAATAGCAGTAATACAACAGTTCAATTTTTATATGAACTAGAATATTTTATCAAGTAACATGTGCTGTGTATGGAGGAGGAGAATTATTCTGACATTTCTGCCATATGCAGTTATTTTAAGAGAATGATTTATCCCTGTGGCATTCCTAAAATCTACGTAATAAAAGCCATGTTTTAATGACACTTAATGTTAGAGTTCTAAAATGTTTGAGTTCTAAAAAGCGAAATGTAAGCTCATGAAGTGCTATCTTGAAGTGTTTGAATAATCAGGCATCTATAAAACATATATACAGTAGTTCATAGCTAAATAATTTTAAGATTCAAAAACAGTATTTTCAGTTGGGTATAAATATAAAATGCATCTTAATATTTATATTTACAAAGTTCTTTCCAGAGCCAGGTGCAGTGGCTCACGCCTGTAATCCCAGCACTTTGTGGGGATCACCTCAGGTCAGGGGTTCAAGACCAGCCTGACAAACATGGTGAAACCCTGTCTCTACTAAAATACAAAAATTAGCTGGGTGTGGTGGCAGGTACCTGTCATCTCAGCTACTTGGGAGGCTGAGGCAGGAGAATCACTTGAACTCAGGAGGTGGAGGCTGCAATGAGCTGACGTCATGCCACTGCACTCCATCCTGGGAAACGAGCAAAACTCCACCCCACTTCCCCACCAAAAAAGAAAAAGAAAGTTCTTTCCAGAATGGTTAGCAGAGAATATCACACATCCCAAATCAGTAATTATATTTTTCTAGTTTTTGATATTCCAATATTCCAACATACTATTTTTATTACCAAAATGCTGGCATTTTTGTTGCTGCAACACCATTAATCTGAAATAAATTAAAACCTTTATTAGAATTCTTGGCTTTCTCCGGTCTCTTGCCACTTCTGTTCCCTGCCCCTCTATGAATCTACCAGTCAGCAAGAGAAAACAAAAAAGAAATACACAAGAACAGAAAACTGGACATGAAACTTGCAGGAGCATCTTCCCAGTTGAGGAGGAAAGGAATCAGACCCCAGTTCATGACATTCCTTTTGGGGTGGCTGGCAAGAAGAAACAAGTCTGCTATAGCAAGGAGCCCTCCAACAGAGCAGAAAAGCTGCCCTGCAGTGGGTGGTAACAAAGTCTCCTCACACTGCAGGAGGGCTCTGAAACTTAACTGAACCAGCTACACCTCAGGAGGCAGATCAAAGAGCACCACCGAAGAGTGGAGACAGACCCTGTAGGAAATGGCAGATGAGCAGTGACCAGTCTGGCTGTATCATTATGGAGCTGCTTTGGTCTTTTAAGCAAAACCTTTAAAAATTTTATACAATGAAAACAATTAGGGAACAAAATTCTTCTCTTCCTGTTAAGTGTTATATTAACATTTTGAATTAAATAAGAATGCATTCATTTAGAAAGCTGAAGAACAAATGAAGCTTCCAGGTTTCTACATAAAAGTGGTGGCTGTGTTGATCACATCCTACTCACATCTCTCAAAATCTATCCAGATCACAAAGGGGAGAAATAAAAACACCTATGACATATGTGTAGAGTAAAACCAGGAGACAGAGGAATAGATTCCAAATGTCACAGAAGTGGGGAATGAGCAGGGTCCAGCAGGAGCTACATGGAGAGTGGCGTGTACAGATTCATACTTATTAGGGATCACCCAGGAAGGCTGGACTCCCCACCACCTGCCGCTCAACAGAACATTGCAGAGGCCAGAGGGGACTGGCAACAGGGTGGTTAAAGGAAGGACTATAGAAAAGTACTTGGGTCCAGCAATGGCAGTCTCAGGAAGGCACCATGCATGAAAGGAAGGTGGTACCTTGGAAAGCTCAAGTGTCCCTTAAGGGTCATAAAGGGATGGAAGCACCTAATGAAAAAGAGTCTTAATCTAAATGGAGCTGAAAAATCAGAAAGTGGTGATTCTGCACTTACTAAAGCAACAGAAGACGGTTCCCTTCAACCAAGACTCCTAAAGCCATGCAAATTCCTCCCTGCTCCACCATGAGGTCTAGTAATGACAGGTCCAGAAAAAACTAACATCTATTATAGAAACAACAAACAAAAACAGGATTACAGAGTCCAAATAAATATATTATGGAGAAAGTCTGGCGAATGAGAAGGAAAACTTTCTGGAGGACGAAAGAAAGTACACCAGAAAAATTCAGTCATAAACAACGGGAAACCCATAACACCAAATTCCAACACAAAGGGAGAATGCAGCAGCAGGCAAAAAAGAGCACCAGTGATGAGAAATACAAATTCAGAGAGAAATGAGCACATCTGAAATAGAAATAAGAATACTAAAAAATAAGAAATATGCAAAGTAATAATTTTGGAAATAAAGGCTAATTTTATTATAAGGTAACCAAAGAAGCAGCAATATGACTAAAATTTCTACTGAGGATATAGAGTCTAGAAAATTAAAAACCAAGAAAATGAATAAAAGAAACATAACTAAAGAAATGCATATCAAAGCAGAATAACGAAAAAGATTAACAGCTAACTACATAAACATAAGGTTAAAAGACAAATGACAAACTGGGAAAAAATAGTTGCAAATTTACTGTAGTTAAAGGGCTAATCTCCTTAACATATAAAGTTTCTAAAAATAAAATGACCAACTGAGCAGCAAAATGAGCAAAAGACGTTATAAAACTATAAACAGCTCTTAAGTACAAGAAAAAATGCTCATCCTCATCCATAACTGAGGTAAACTCAAAAATTGTTAAGTACAGTAAAATATCATTTCCCAACTGGCAAATAAGTAAATATCCACATTTAACAACACATTCTGTTTGGAAAGTTTTAAGAAAAGAGCTACTGTTGTAAACTGCTGGGGGGAATGCAAAATGTTACTTTTCTGTGAAGGAGAATTTGGCAGGATCTTGCAAAATTATACATGCATCTACCATTTGTTGCAACAATCCTGCTTCTAATAGTTTCTCTTAATGATACCTTACATATGTAAGGAATAATGCCTGAACGTAAGAGGATTCACTGTGACATTAGTACTAATAGCAAAAGGTTAAAAATAGCCTCGATGCCCATCAATACTGTTAAGCTATGCTGCATCCACACAACGTGGCAGTATTCAGTCATACAAAACACAATGGAAAACGCCTGTGCGGTGATGTGGGTGATTCTCAGGATATACTAGAAAGATACTTTTCCTAGTTCCGTCCTGATGAAGCCTACAAGTACTAACATTCATAAAGCAAAGGCTAAATTTTGCATCTAAAATCTGACTCTTAAATGCCATTCTCCAACAATTCATTGGGAAAATAATTTATTCCAGGACTGAGAATAAATGTTCGAGATTAAGTAGAAATTTAAAAATCTAATAGGGTCTTTTTATTTTTATTTTTAAGACGGGGTTTCACCATGTTGGTCAGGCTGGTCTTGAACTCCCAACCTCAGGTGATCCGCCCGCCTTGGCCTCCAAAGTGCTTGGATTACAGGCGTGAGCCACCACGCCCAGCCCTCTAATAGGGACATTTTAAAAGCACACCAAGTCTACGCAATTTGAATCTCATTTAGAGTAATGACTGAGAAACGTATTAAATATAAAAACATTTATGAGTTCATAATATTCAAAAATGCAGGAAAAAACAACTGAAAAACAAAATTAAATTGTCACCATTAAAATTATTACATTAACTCCTAATCTTAACTCCTATTACATTAACTCCTAAGACTCTAAAAATCTTAAAATATATTTTAGGCCTTTTCAGTAGAACTTTTTCAAGGTAATCAAATGGCACCCACTGATGAGAAAAAAGAGTGCCAGGTATAGATGTTGGACAAACAGATGGAAAAATTTTCCCCCCAGACAGCCATTTTGCAATCCCCAATGAGATCATACATTCAGGTAATGATACTGATAAATACAAAAATCAGGTGAAGGGCAAGCTAACAGGTTCTGAGACGATGATGGCAGTGACATACAGTTGTTTTGTTTTTGCTTTTATTTCCTCCCAATCTCACCTACAAAAGGAGCAAACTAAATGGGAAAATCAAAGACCCAGAGACATTATCTACAACAAAACCATGAACCACTGCAAATAAGTGGACAGAAACAAAGTTCTGACAACTAACTACAAGAGCACATGGAAGGTAACTGCCTGGTGTCTTATAGCCCCGAGAACAGGAAAACCTTCAAACTGCCAACCCACTAGAAAGCAATAGCTTAAAGTTTTAAAAAGTTCTACAGGATCTAACCTGCAGATCATTACAAAGGGATCATGATGCGGTAAAGCTCTGGGCCCTTAAAACTCCTGAACGCTAAATCCCCTGTAAAACAAACCTTGTACCAAGGAGAAACTTCCAGGAATAACTTCCAAATGGAACAGATCAAACATAATAAAGAACAAAAAAAGTGCAAATATATGTGGGGAAGGAGGAAGTTTCAGAAAGAGCAAGGGCATATTTTTGACCATTTTACCAAAACACAGACTTCTCCCCTTCCCCAAAAACCAAGAAAAGTTATCTTAGCCCATCTCCCCCTCATGCCACTATGGGAAACTCATTTCACTCACAAAAAAAAAAAAAAAAATAAGCAACAAAACAGAGTCCAACAGTGTAATTATTAGAGAAAGAATATGTGCATGTACATGAGAATGATGTCCCTATAAAGTACACCAAACTATATGCAAATAGATAAAAACTGTACACAAATTTCAAATTGACCTAAAAAGAATTTTAAAAATAACAATTAGAAATGGGAAATTTCAGAATAAGGGTAACTGAAGACAAGACATGACACAACTAAGGAGTAATTAGAAATGCAAGGAAAAAAAATCACTTCAAATGCAAAGAAACTAAAACTAAACTAGAAGAAATAGAAAAGTGAATAAAGCAGAACAATAGTACCATAGACACTGAAGACAGAAGAAAAATCTTAAAAAAGAAATGAAGCTGTGCCTGAGACTCTCCTTGCTGCTCCAGAGACACAGTGCTGCTGAGCACTGGCAGGAGGAATCCTCCTATAATTAATTGGTCTGGCAGTGTTCACTTTTCCTGCAAGTGATCTACAGCCCAGGGGCACAGAGCGGGCGGGAGCACTGCCAGAAACACCAGGCATGGGAGAGCCTGCCACGAGAGGCACAAGGCTCAGGAAGCACTCTGGGGGTCCCTCTTCCCCCACCCAAACACACTCTGCGCAGATCAGCCTGGAGGAGCCCCCTCAAGCAGGACCACTAGGAACCAGTGTGAGCCCCAGCAGAGTAAGATAAAAGCAACAAACCAAAACAGCACCACAAAGGCTCTGAAAAATGGTCATTGGAACCACAGCCCACAAACATATGCTAGCACCTACATGCTAAACCTAAACAGGTTACCACTGAAGTAAAAAAAATTTTTAAAAGGACAGTCTCCTAATGTAATAACTAAAATGCCTGAGATACAATCCAAAAATTATCTGTCATACCAAGAACCAGGAAAATCACATGAAGGAAAGAAAATCAACGCCAACACTGGGATGAGTAAGATGTTGAAATTATCTGACAAGCATCTTAATGCAGCCATCATAGAAATGATTTGACAAGCAATTATAAGTTCTGCTGTTTCAAAAACGAAACAATAGAAAATCTCAGCAAAGAAACAGAAGTTATAAGGAAAGAAAAGCAAATGGAAATTATAGACCTAAAAAATACAATAAGCGAAAAATAATCATTAGATGGGCTCAACAGTAGAGTGAAGATGACAAAGGATAGAAATCTGAACAAAAGAGAGAAAGTAGAGTGAAAAATGAACTGTGCCTCAGGTACATGTGGAACAATAACAAATGATTCAACATTTGTATCTCCAGAGGCCTAGAATGGAGACAAGAATGACGCTGAAGGAACATCTGAAGAAATAATGGTTGAACAAATTTTCCATGTTTGGCAAAAGAGACAGACTTACAGCTTCGAGAAGCTGAGTGAACTCCAAAGAGCATAAATAAAACTATTCTTCAGGAATAAAGGGAAAATAAAGTCATTTTCAAAAGGAGAAAAATAAAAAGAATTTCTCATTAGCAGAGCTGCCTTTGAGAACTGGCTAATGGAAGTAATAAAAGATGGAATCTTGGAAAAAATAGTGGAAATAGCAGAAACATGGCTATATACAACAGAGGATCACTCTCTTCGTAAGTTCTGTAAGTCTACTGGATAACTGATACAAAAACTATAACAGCATTAATCCTCAGAACAATACTATTTAAAAGCGGGGAAAGAGACCTTAACAGAAAGCAAGGTTTCCACATCTCATTCCAGATGATGGTGTTGATGGCAGCGAATGGTGGTAAATCACATTATCTATAATGTGATTCCCACAATGACCATGAAAATGACTGTGAAAACAACTATAAAAAATACAGAAAAGGCCGGGCATGGTGGCTCACGCCTGTAATCCCAGCACTTGGGAGGCCAAGGCAGGCAGATCGTGAGGCCAGTAGTTTGAGACCAGCTTGGCCAATATGGAAGGATCCATATTGTTAAAATGTGAATTCCCCCCAAATTGACTTACCCCAATCAAAGCAACCCAAATCAAAATCTCTGCAGGCTTTGCCTCCTTTTTTTGTTTGTAGAAATTAACTGACTCTAATATTTATATACAAATAAAATAGTCAAAGCGACCTAATGAAAAAGTTGTGGGAATCACAGCATCTGATTTGAAGCTGCAGTAACCATTAACAGTGTGGTTTTGGCAAAAGGACAAAACAAATTAATAGAACAGAATGGAGAGTCCAGAAACAAGGATCACACGCAGATTGACTTTCAACCAAAGTGCAAAAGCAATTCAATGGGGAAAGGAAGTCTCTCTAACAAATAAGTAAAACGATTTAGAAAATCAATGACATCCACTGTCTAACAACATCATAAACATTTATTGGTAGTGGATCACAGATTTACACATAAAAGTTAAACCTGTATTTTACTATTGGAAGAAAACATACCTGTGGCTCTGGGCTAGGCAAAGATAGATATAAAAGGACATTAAAAAAACTATAAAAGAAAAAATAAAATAGACCTCAAAAAATTAATAATTTCTGCTCATCAGAAGATAAGAAAATGAAAAAGCCACAGACTTAGAGAAAATCATAAAATACATATCAGAAATGGGCCTTTTATATAGACTATACAGTATTCCCCACTTATCCATGGGGAATAAGTTCCAAGACCTCCCACAGATGTCTAAAATTGCAGATAGTCCTGAACCCTGTATATACTATGCATGATTTATTTTTCCTTCACAATTTCATGGACAAAAGATTCATTCTTACCATAGATTTTAGCAACTTCAACATATGATTTTTTAATTCTTTCCATATTAAGTCAGGAACTTTCACCTTTTCACTTAAAGGAAGCACTTTCCGGCTTCTCTGGCATACTTGAATTTCCATCACTGCTCTTGTGCTTTAGGGCCATTAAGTAAAATAAAGGTTAACTGAACACAAGCATTGATACTACAACAGTCGATCTGATAACCAATAGACTGAAAGTGGTGGGTAGTCTAGACAACGTGGATATACTGCAAAAAGGGATAATTAATGCCCTGGGTGGAGAGGTGGGAGATTTCACCATGTTATTCAGAATAGTGCATAATTTAAAACTCAGGAGTTGCTGGCTGGGTGCGGTGGCTCACGCTTGCAGTCCCAGAGTTCTGGAAGGCTAAGGTAGAAGAAATGCTAGAGGCCAGGGGTTTGAGACCACCCTGGATAACACAGTGACACTGTTTGTTTCTACCAAAAAACCCAAACAAAACAAAAACTAAAAATTAGCTAGGGATGTTGACGTACACCTGTAGCACCAGCTACTCAGAAGGCTGAGATAAGATCGCATGAGCCCAGGAGTTTGAATTTATAATAAGCTGCAGTCATGCTACTGCATTCCAGCGAGACTTTGTCTCTTAAAAAAGCCAAGCAAATGAACAAGAAAGCAACCCACTCCCCCCCCCCCCCCCCCCCCCCCCCCATACATCAAAAACCCTAAGTTATTCAAGGAATTTTCCACTTAATGTTTTTGGACCACTGCTGACCAAAGATAATTGAAACCAAAAAAAGCGAAACTAAGGATAAGGCAAATTCCTGTATTTTACAGAAAATATCTGTAGTCAAAAGAAATATAAAAATGAGGAAAAGATACTTTTAGTTAAATATGTACCTACTAGATGCCTTGGAAACTCTACTCCTACATGTTTGCCCAAGAGAAATAAAACATTTCCACAATAAGACTGTATACAGCTTTATTCACAACAGCTCCAAACTGGAAACAACCCAGCTGTCCACCAACAGGTAAAAAGCAAATTCTGCATATTCACATAATGCAACACTACTCTATAATTTTTAAAAAGGCACAATAAATCAACGCAATAACATGGATGAATCTTGAACATGTTTTGTTAACCTAAAGAGTCTAGATGTAGTACAAGTATATATGATTCCATTCATAAGAAATTCAAGAGCAGACAAAAGTAATCTATAGTGACAGCAATTACAACAGTTATCGTCTGTTCTAATGGGGTATGGAGATTCAGTGGAAGGGAAAATATGGGAAATCTGTGTTAATGAACATAGCCTATACCTTGACTGAAATATGGCTGCATAAATGTAATTTTTTAAAACTAACCCACTTAAGCCCTGGGTATTTCACTGTATTCACATTTTACCCCACACAACATAGACACCACCATTATTACCACCACACTGATAACATTTAGAGAGCAGTGAGGGAATCACATTATTTGAAAATGAGTAATGGGTAATAATTAAGCACTATCTTATCTGATATGTGCATATTTATATACATGTGTACAGATCATATATGTGGATCTGTAATTTGGGTAGTCACAGAGTTTTTCTTCAAAAGTATTACAGGTAATGAAGGAGGAATAAAGAATTCGAATATCACAATTTTGCAAAACTTTATGAATTAGCAAATCTAGGCAATCAGAATCCATGATAAAAATTAGCAGAAAAGACAAAGCGAATGAGACTAAATTACCCCTACAAACCAATATCTATGAGGTATTTGGGAAGGAAATAAACTCTGAATCTTTTTCTTTTTGTTGAGATAGAGTATCACTCGTGTCCCAGCTGGAGTGCAGTGGTACAATCTAGGCTCACTGCTATCTCCACTTCCCAGGGTCAAGAGATTCTCTGGGATTACAAGTGCCTGCCACCACATCCAGCTAATTTTTGTGTTTTTCAGTAGAGACGGGGTTTTACCATGTTGGCCAGGCTGGTTTCAAACTGCTGGCTTCAAGTCATCTGCCCGCCTCGGCCTTTTTTGCATGTCTTTTTTCAGTTGCTGAAAAAGCTCTCCCTGATTTTATTTCTTGTTGACTTCCTAGAAACATCTTTCCAAATGTCCCTCTCCGTGTCACTTTTTCAAAGTTAGGAGCAGGGACTGCAAGTTTTTTTGACTGGTAATTTTTGTTTCAAAGGTTTGATTCAGATTCAGAGTTGATTTTGCCAGGCATGGTGGCTCAAACCATAATCTTGGCACTTTAGAAGACTGAGGAGTTTGAGACCAGCCTAGCCAACGTGGCAAAACCCCATTTCTATTAAAAATAGAAAAATTAGCCAGGCGTACTGGTGCGCACCTGTATTTCCAGCTACTCAGGAGGCTGAGGCAGGAGAACGACTTGAACCCGGGAAGCAGAGGCTACAGTGAGCCCAGACCGCGCCACTGCACTCCAGCCTGAGTGACAGAGCAAGACTCAATTTAAAAAAAAAAAAAAAAAAAAAAAAAAAATTAACAGAATCTTATTTCTAGTGGTTTACATATTAAATATGTTGTTAATTTTTAGCTGAAATATATTAGACTCACGGTTTTTATTTTTATGAATTCTGCATACAATAAATACTAACCAAAATACCTACACAGGCACAGTACTGCCAGTTCAGTTTCAGACCATAGCAAATAAGGTGACGATGGCAGTTAAGTGAGTCATACAAATTTTTTTGTTTCCCTGTGCATATAAAAGTTACGTTTACACTATACTTTGGTCAAGTGTGTAATGGTATTATGTCTAAATATTAATACTGTCTTAATTTAAAATCATTGCTAAAAATGCTAATGAATTGAGCATATTTGTTGGAAAATGGTGCTGACAGACCTGCTTGATGCAGCGTTGCCAGCAAAAAAAATCAGTATCTGCAGAGCACAGTAAAGTGAGATGCCCGTATTGTCCTTTTTCCCCTGTTATTAAAAGCATTAAGTCTTCAACTATCTACTTGTAGACTGTTTAATGAATTAATATTTTCATATTTATATTCAGAAAATAAGCTGAATTTAGTAAGAAAAGGTTTAGAATATCATCAGCTACTCTGTCATTTTTCACATAACACTAGTTTGCCCTTCAAACCATACATTTAAAAATGATCTTAAGATACATACCAAGTATGGATTATGTTGTTATAAAAAGCTAGAAATAAAATTAAAACCTTAATTTCAAAGATAATTTCTCTTACCCTTCAGAGATCATTTGACTTTTTTCATAACTATTAGAAATTGTATGTGATAAATCATATTACAGAGATATTGCTGTTATATTCTTTGTGACTAACAAGTAGGGTTTTCCCATCACCATGTTATTCCAACCCTTTAATGAACCACCTTTTAAACTCTGAATAGATAGCAGCACAGAAGTTGCTAAGAGTAAATAACATTCACCACTGCTGCCAGAATGACCAAAGGTGCACCAAAATGAAGAAATACTGGTAACTTCCCACAAACCAGGATGAAGAACCTTATAAAACAACAGAACAGATGAATATAATGTAACATACAGCCATCCCTTGGTATACGTGACAGGGATCGGTTGCGGGACCGCCTGTGTATATGAAAATCCACGCATACTCAAGTTCCACAGTTGCCCCTGCAGAACTGGCATACATAGAAATCAGCCCCCTGTATATACAGACTCCCACTATTACTGGATCTGCCAGTAGTTGAGAAAAAAACCCTGCATGTTAGGGGAACCATGAAGTTCACAGCTGTGTTGTTCAAGGGTCAACTAATATAAAAATAATGTTTATTGCTAGATAACTGATATTCATTCTAGTGTTTATATACTTGAGTCTTAGAGCAATAATAACCTTTGGAGACAACTTCCAGGAAGGTACCTGTTTTGCATGCCTTCTCACTGCAGTCCACCAGTGGGAGCCAAAAGTGTATCTTTGTCTCTTGACCCAATCTCAGCAGGGGATGGGGAAGCATATGTCTTCCAGAATTGGATGGCAGAGTACACAGAAGTAGACAGTACAGTAGTAAGGGCATTTACTTAAAAGCAGATAGAACTGGGAACCTCCACATCTTTCTGTGGGAATTCAGGGTTCAGTTTCTTAAGGTGTAAAATGGAAATACTAATATGTACCTGGACATATTATCTTAAGAATTAATTGAAAGACCGTACCATTTCACTCAAAAAGTGCTTGATCCTGAGTAGCCATGTAACAGTTCACAAATGTAGAATTCAAAAGAAAGGAAAAATATGCAGAAGTGGCGGCCTTATTTTAATTATCTTATCAGCAGTAAGAATACTCTAACCAGTATCACAAGGAACATTAGATAATCTATACCCCAAATGCAGGAGAAAACATGAGACTTACATATAAGAACACTTCATCACAAGATTAACTCTGAAAACTGGTGATTATATTACAAAAACAAATCTAAGTATATAGATGAGAATTTGTGAGTTTGCTTATTTGGGAATTAGTACCTAGAGATAAAGGTCTGAAGCAAAATCACACACCCCTTTAATGAATCAAATCTTCTTTGAAGAATTAAGTACCTCACCTAATCAGAACTGAATCCCTGGTATAGCCACCGTCATATTCTGTAGTTTCTTCTAGTGCCTGGAAATCTAGATTCTGCAAATTCAAGAAAATATGTCTTAGTATCTCCTATACTGCTGTATCATTACAAACAATAAATCCATCCATTACTTTTTGCAGACACCTGCTTTCTTACCCGGCTTCCACATATAAGCAATTCAATTTCTTCTGGTCTGAATAAGTACTTTAAGGGAGATTCATTGGTCACCATATGAAAACCTCTCCGAAAAGCCTTGAACTGTTTTTCTACTGATTTATTGAGAATGTAGTCAGAATAAAGATTGACAAATTCCTGTAGGAAACATTAATCACAAGAACTTCTTATAATATGCTATGCAAACAAAACACAAGTTATTGGGCTGCATAGCTTTTTAATTTTTCCAAGAAAAAAAATTCAAGAATATTTTTAAAAATTCAATTTTACACCTACAAAGAAAACTACTACTAATAATTTCACAACTCTCTGTTATAGCCAATATTAAGCTATGAAAAGGCCACATACATAAAACTGTCATATATGATATAAATATCAATTTTGATACTGTATTAAACACAACGAAATATAAATGCTGGAGATGCATACAACTTTTTAGGTTCCCTCAACGAGGTATGCTAACAGAAACATTTAAACCGTGTATCCATCTATTTATAAATGCCAACATTTTAAGAGAGTACAATGTATTTGATTTGAGCAAATCAGAAAGTCCCATGTTTTCTAGCACAGAATATTTGGTAAGCTGCCTACTATATCCAGTTAGCAAAAATATTGAAGTGTTGACTCACACAAACTACTGTATCAAATCATAAAAGGAAAATGTGCTTTGTACCCTTAGTGTGTATAATATTTAATCAAAAAATATCAATAGAAACATGTTTCTTAAAGGTATACTGTATCTCTGTCATAATTTTTTCCTGTTATGGGTTATTCCCATTCCAGACGAACACATTTTAGTCAAAAGAAACCCACATCTGATGTAAAAAATCCTTTTCAGAAATGTCTTTATATCACAAAGAGGATACACGTGTAAATTAGGTGTAATTTTTGTCAGTGACGAGGTTCCTGCTTACAGCTTCCTACGGAAAATACCCTGCCTCTTGCTTTATCCTCCAGCCACACGCAGCTATGAACTACCTCCTACGTCATGTCCTCTTTCTCTAAAACGGGGTTAGTGCCCAACGGTGTGCTTTCACACCAACTTACACCTAAGATTTAGAAAACGGGACTCTGGCATTTACATAAACTTGCTTACTGGATTTCCTGTGTTTTTTTGTACAGACTATAGTAGATACTTCTTTAAAAATTATAAGCATACATGCTTTGAAACTGTTAATGAAGAGACAAAAAATGATGACACAAAACATTTATTACCTTCCTGTTTTCATTTGTAATTGGAATTTTATCACCATTTTCCTTTAGATCATACATCATTGGATTACCAAAAAGATCTGTTTGTGATATCTGGAAAGTGATCATCATGTCATCTTCCACATTCCCTTCATACTCCAATAAATCTTTTAAACTCTGATATAGAACCTAGCAACCAGAAATGGTAAATTGAGGCCACTATAGAACTATAAAATACAACAAATAAATTATATCACCCTTCTTTTTTAAAAGACAATAAAAACAAAAACATTATCAATGAAAATTGTAAAAAGGACAGCTAGTATCCCTCCAGTCCCCCAAATAGTTTCCAACCTACAAAAGAAAAACTGGCAGTCACTGTTATGGCCCATTCTCTGCTAAAAAACCCACACCACCAATTTAGCAATAGATTTCACACTGTGCTCTATGAGAAATTCTGTAGTGTCTCAAGGTGGGGCTGGGGAAGGTGGGGGCAGGCATGCTAGTGGTAGCTACCAAGCCCCTTAGCCAGGGCTGCTCTGTTTACCTGTTCATCTCATAAGATTTCACTAAAATAAAAACAAAATGTTTAGAAACATTTCTCTATGGAATCAGTCTTAAAAAGCTTCGCGCTGACAGCAATATATAAACATTTCCCCCTTTGAGTTTTTAAGTGTTCATGGTACTTCGGTCAGATTAAAACATTTTTATCTTACGGATAAAAGTATCAATAAAGATTCTAAATGAAAACTTTTAAAATTTTAATATAAATTAAATTGTATATTTGCATTTAAATTAAATCAAAGAGACTGAATTAAAAAAATGACAACTTACTGGGTGAGAGTCTCCCAAGTCACGAAAAGTTCCTTTTTTCCCCATTAGCTTCCTGTAGACAACCATGGGAAAATGTACATCCAGTATACAGTTATTGTAAATAGCCAGACCCAGTACTATGCCAATCAGAGTAAACTGACCCTCAGTTTCAAAAGAAGATGGATTAAACCAAAACAATTTTGTAGATTCATCGTATGTGAACATACCTGTAAGAAATGATTTTTAAAAATACATTACTTTTGTATTTTATTAAGAACTGATGAATACAAATATAAATTTAATTACACATATAAAACATTAAAAAATATATGTAATTATGCATACATTGATTTTTATTAGCACTTGAGAAAACACTGTCCACATATATGTTATAAATTGTGGTGAATGTGGTATGTAATTTTATGAAGCCAAAGAAAGTCCTAAGTAATCTGATGGCATTGAGTAGAAGAACATATTCATTAAATTCAACATTTCTGATTTTTTACTAACACACAAGAAAAGCTATATTCATACTTTACCCATAGCGAAAAAATAAACATTAAAAAAACCCAAAGGCTATATTTTGAAAGTGTTTCATTTATAAAAATATATTTGTATCACGTGTACTATTTTTAAAAAACAATTTTTAATCACAGTAAGGAAAGGTTTGTTTTTTCAAAATTAGATAATGCTGCCATGAAATTTTTCTAGCATTTTCCTAACAAAATCAGATGATCTGAAGTACATAAACTTGGATTAATCTGATAAACTTAGATCAACAAAGCTATTTAACACCTATGTTGTGGGCCAATATGTAAAACAAAAGTCGTTTCAATTTCACATGGTCTTCACTATGCAAACCCCAATCGTGGAGACCTTTTTTATATCACTCATTGGAAAACTGGGGTGGGGTGTGGTAGTTCACGCCTGTAATCTCAGCACTTTGGGGAGGCCGACACAAGCAGATCACCTGAGCTCAGGAGTCCAAGACCAGCCTGGGCAAGATGGCAAAACCCCATCTCTACAGAAAACACAAAAATTAGCTGGGTGTGGTAGCATACACCCGTAGTCCCAGCTACTTGAGAGGCTGATGCATGAGGATGGCTTGAGTCTTGACCCAGGAGGTGGAGGCTGCAGTGAGCCAAGATAGAGCCATTACACTCCAGCCTGGGCATCAGAGAGCCCGATGCTGTCTCCCTCCACCAAAAAATAAAAAAACCAAAGATTCCAATTTTTAAAAAAAATCTACCTGAATATTACTAAGAATTGATTTCCTCCCTTTTAAATGACTAAGGAAAAAAATTTTTTAATTGAATTTAGAATTTTTTCATTTTACTAAATGTTGCTTAGCTGCACTGTGAAACTGAATGAAAACATCTTAAGAATTAAGTCTGAAAAAAATCTGTAATTTCCAATAGAAAAGTAGAGCTTAGAAATTAGAAATCAAATTATATAGCATTTAAGTATTTTAACCGTAGTTTATAAAAGGACCCTTAAAATGTCTCCTTGATCACTAGGAGCATGAATTAAGCTTAAGACATTTTCTGAATGCAAAATGATTTGAAAATCAATTCATGTTTGAGTTTTGTGGTTTCTATCTAAACATTTTTTAGAGACCAAGTTACAACATCCATGGAAATACTTTTAGTTATAAGTATGGTATTAACAGGGTCAAGAACAGTTGACAAGTAATACAATTAATTAATAAATTTGTTCAAGCTAGCAATGGTGTGTTTAAAAAAAAAAACTTGATAAAATGTCACAAATGCACGTCCTTGGTCTCAAGAACAAGAAACTATAAATTAATCAGAATATAACTTTGAAGTTCCATTTGAGGCACATTTTCTCACATTTCAGGGAAAAAGGGACCATAAAGAATGCCTCCAGTAAAACATTATTTTTGATACTTTTACTGCCATCACTTCAGTTACCTTACTGGAACTGCTTAATCTATGTTTTTTCTTACAAGTATTTCTGCATATAATGCAAGTATACTTTAGAGCTAATGTTTAATATTTCTAGATACATGAAAAGCTAGAGCTAAGGTTTATCAAATTTAAGAGCCTTATGAAGTTCATAATTTTCTATCTCAAAAAGGGCATGGTCTTAGGTATGTCTGATTTACTTTGAACAAACTACACACAAGTTAATAACAAAACACTAGCTAGAGTGTAGATAAGGGGTGTGTGTATGTGTGTGTGTGATTAAGAACAGTAACAGAAAGGTCAACTCAATTAGAATGAACAGGCTATAACAGCTCAAACTGCAAAGCTGAAGGGAAATGACACACATTCTATGCACACTCCTCACAATTCTGATGGTACCTTCAGTGGAAACCTTTTCCTATAATTGTCATGTACTCAATTTTAAATGTAAGCAAGCTCAGTCACTAAATGGTTGTATTTACAATAGAAACTGAACCAGTTCAGAATTATGCAGTTAAGTAGACGACCCGAAAGACTGCATCTTTTCCCTGTTCTACTTTATCACAAAAGGGAAAAAATTAAAATTCTGATCCTTCACTTTCAAATTAACATCCCATCAGCCTTTATCAAACTGTTCAATAACTCTTCTGGGAGACAAAAAGGTTTCTCAAGTTCAAAAAGTTTGGGGGAAACATTACCTACATTAAGCCCCAAGAAATCTTATAGCAAATAAATCTAATTAATGGGATATCAGCTAGTGTTTTCTGAAGTTTGGGCATGACATAATTGTGAAACAGTCTCTCAATATTCTTCTAACCATTGTTCTTTGAAACTCACAGGTCAGGAAAACCATGAGTATGATGATGGTTTTAGATAACAAAAAGCAAAGAAATCCCTTCAAGTGTTCCAATGTACCACTCTAAAGTGCTTTTCAATTCAATTTACCAAAGAGATAATTTCCTTCATTAGAATATATGACTAAGAAATAGAGGTACTTGAATAAATTAGTGATACAAATCAGTTCTTAAAACCTACAAATTCTATCATGATATGTGATTCCAAGTAATCCGTACCAAATCCTTCTTTAGCAGCTCTTCATGGCTGAGAATATTTATAAACCAAGATAAATAAGTAATTCAAAAAGACAATATGACACCATAATCACATTACTAAAGTATTTACCAATATCTGGATTGAAGATTTCCTCCACAACCAGCTGAAAAAATTCTTTGGAAACACCTCCCTCATCAACTCCTTGTTCTCCTTCAAATTCCACATACAACTGCTTCTTCAAGTCTGCAGGATTTTCCATAGCGATCATCTCTAGCTAGTGATTGAAAAGGTAAACATGAACAGAAGATGATTGCTAGTATCAGGAAAAAAGCAAAATAAAAACAAGGAGTAGGGTTATGACACAAATACAAATTTTTGACTTTTTATACGTAAATAGAAACAGAAAGCAAACTGATAAATAGCCAGTGAAGACAAAGATTCAGTCTTAAAGATAATGAAAAAATAAGACACAAAAGATACCAGCATAGTAAAAAGCATACTTTCTAACTTTACTGATTTGTTATGAAATTAACATACAGTTAATTAAGATTTTATTACTTGTATGTAACAAGTCTGATTACACAGGACATGGAAAAGCAGCTAAACCATTTCAGCAAAAACAATGGAGTACAGAGGTCTGACCTCAAAATTGTTCAATACTATTCCTTTATTAGAATTGAAACTCAAGAATTAAGTCTTAATATCTACTAAGTCAAAAGTAAAATATTTCAATTAAGAAAAGTACATTGGGGCCGGGCGCGGTGGCTCAAGCCTGTAATCCCAGCACTTTGGGAGGCTGAGGCGGGTGGATCACGAGGTCAAGAGATCGAGACCATCCTGGTCAACATGGTGAAACCCCGTCTCTACTAAAAATACAAAAAATTAGCTGGGCATGGTGGCGCGTGCCTGTAATCCCAGCTACTCAGGAGGCTGAGGCAGGAGAATTGCCTGAACCCAGGAGGTGGAGGTTGCGGTGAGCCGAGATCGTGTCATTGCACTCCAGCCTGGGTAACATGAGTGAAACTCCGTCTCAAAAAAAAAAAAAAAAAAAAAAAAAAAAAAAAAAAAAAAGTACATTGAATAGTAAAGCAGGTCATGGTCTCTCACAATAGCAATTAGTATAAATGATCACCTTTTAATGGATTAGAGCCCATCTTATATACACAGTTCCTTGAAAGCAGGTGAGACATAACCTTACTCATGTCCTTACTCTTATTAAATTGTAAGTTGTCAAACTTTAGTGTCTGGCATTTTCTCATCTATAAATCTTTTACCAAATATTCTTGTGCACCTATAGAATTATGAATATAAATTATTAACCTTGGTCATTTAGACTAATCATAAAATCAACACTAGATTGTAATATGAACTGTTTATACTGTAATTTGTTTGTTTTACTTTATGTATCTGAAATTCACTAACAGTATGACTGTATCCATCCAGTACATGGATACATGTATCCAGTATCAGTCACATCCCCTAACTTGTCTTCAAGCATCTGCTGGCTGATTAAAACAATTTAACCTTGGAGTTCAGGTTATTCCAACTATTCCAAACATAATTTTAAAAATGGTTTTGAGCAATGCAATCATCAGTGAAACAACTGTCTTATAGTGCTATAGTAATTAAGGTAGTAATACTCATTTGGACAATCTAGTTTGTCTATAAAAAACAAAATCTCATAATTAGGTCAGGTTGCCCTAGAGCATTATTTTTCAAACTTGTCACCTGCAACTCATTAGTGGGTAGTCTAATCCATTTAGTTGTTTGCAGTCAGCAATGGGAAAATCAGAATGTATTCCACATAGCAATGGAACCTACTGCTCATGAAAACGTTTGTTTCAATTAGATGTTCGGATGGATATGCATGTACTGGGATGCTATGTAAAATATTAGGGGTTGCAGTCAAAGAGTCTGACAAAACCAGCTGAAAATATCTTCAACTTCAGGGTCCTATTCTGTGAATTTAGTCTTTAGTTTTAAATAATGTCTGTTCTTGTTCAACACCGATCTCTAATATTTACAAAACCATTTTTAGGCCAAGTTATGTTAAGACAATTTACTTTGAGACTGTGTTTTGTTGTGGAAAGATCAAGTCAATCAGAATATACCTTATTCCCAATGCCCACTTACCATAAACTTTTAACCTTTAAACTTTTGCAAGCAATTCAATTAAGCCTCAGTTTCCTCAACATACTATAAGTTGTGAAGGCTTATTAAGAATCTATGAGAAAGAGTTCTATAGAGCAGGCAATATTAAGAAGATAAACACATCATACTGTTACCTTTTAAAACAATTTTGCTTTTTGAACAAAAGATTTGCAATTTTGTGTCCCCAAAAGAACTTGACATAGACTAGTTCCAAGATCAAGAGTCAAACAAATGTAGACTTGAAAATAACCTTGGGAAGAAAAACAGTTCCAGCTGGAAACCTGTTTCAAGCTACAGAGCATACAGAATTCTGAGGACTAAAATTAGAATTTGCATTTTAGCTCAAATGTGGGACCAGGCCAACATTCCATATTGCCATATAATCCATTCTGAGTTTCCTTATGCCAGTTCCCAACTGGCTAGGTGTTAAAGATGTAAGTCATTGTTTATATTTACCTTTACATCCGAAGGTATACTTGCTTTTTATCAAATATAATGTATTCCAAAGTGGGGGGGGAAAAAAAGATGATCTGATATTTAGACTATGCATTCTATAGCTTTTCCCTATTAACATTCATCGATGAGAGCTGACTCATTATCAGTATAATACCTTTTAAATCTGTCACAATCAGAATGTGTAAGTAAAAAAATTTTTGAGAAGTAGTTGGGAACTGAGTTCTGTAGGCAAAAATTTTGTTATTACCTATTTTTAGATTACCATTCTGGTACACGTAAGTGATTTAGTAAAATACTGTATCACTTAAGAATAAAGGCTGGGCACCATAGCTCACACCTGTAATCCCACCACTTTGGGAGGCCAAGCCAGGCAGATCACCTAAGCCTAGCGGTTTGAGACCAGCCTGGGCAACATGGCAAAAACCCATTCTACAAAAACTAAAAAAAAAAAAAACAAAAAAAAAACGGGGGGGGCGTGGCATGTGCCTGTTGTCCCAGCTATTTGGGAGGCTGAGGTGGGAGATCAAGGCTCCAGTGGGCTGAGATCACGCCACTGCACTCCAGCCTGGGAGACAGAGTAAGATCCTGTCTCTAAAAAATAAAATAAAGAGTAAAAACAGAATGCATAAATAGCCTTTAAAAATATTTTATTTTAAATTATTTTAGCAATAGCCATTTTGATGAAGGCCATTATTTCATAAAGAGCTGTACTGATAATTCTTTTTCTTAAAAATAACCTCCATCCATTGTTCAATTTTAAAAATATTTAAGAAATAAACTGTAAAGGTATATTCTTTACATAATAGCTATATTATTTAAAACTTTTTTGTTGCTGTTTAAGCACAAACCTCACCATAAAACTGTATTTTTAAAGTCAAAAGCATTAAGATATTTGAAATTGAGAGGACTATGTCTAAACATTCTGAAAAGGAGAATGTAAATGCATTCCTGAATTCATTTAATATACAGATGTAGATTTTTAGGTATTTTTTAAAGTACAGTATTTGTTGTATTTATTTAATATGGAGACTAGCTGTTTACTGAGGAAAAATAAACAAAAATACACTGGGGATACAATCACATCTACTTCTTCACTGTGTAACTTCCTCTTTCTTAAGGCTCTTGATTTCATTAATTATTAAATAAAACGATTTTTAATTTCTGAACTTTTCAGCTGGCCATGATGAAATCCTAGGGAGTTCATTTTTTTAAAAAAAAATCTGACCTGGTATCAAACCATTTGCAGAATACATAGGATGACATCTAAATATCAAAATACAATATATCAAAATACGGTGTTACTAGACTAACCAGAATCAGAAGGAAAACCTTCCCACTTAAAATCTTAATAGTTTTCTGAGCTATGACATCAAACCCATTCATAATTTTAAGATTCCTTAATAGCATGAATATTTAAATAGAAGCAATACTCGGATAAAAGAGACCTCTAATACCTAAGAATGCTTGGGATTTCTAAGAAAGGCTAGCTTCAACGACCTTAGTCAACTTGTTGCACTCTGTGATAACAGTTTGGTAGTGAGGAGGCCTAAACTCTTGATTAAGATGTCTAGGTTATCCAAATTAATTTAATTTTTTCATGTTCACTATAAACACATGAAGAAAAGTATGTTCTATCTCAAATGTAGTTTAAGTATCTGGATAATACCAAATCACATAATCACATATGTCCATGAGACCTGGAATCCTGAGTTCTATTTCCAATTCTGCCATTAATTTATGTAGGCTAGAATCTCTTTTACGTTTCATTTTCCTTACATGTAATACTAAGAAGTTTGATGTTTCATTGTCTCAAATTATTATATAATGCTGAGGATCTATGTAGATATATGCTTCATTCTCTCATTCAGTGTCTGAGAAATTATTTTGAGGGCATAAACCAAGCATATTTCTTGGTTTCATTTTTCATTTCAATTAGAATAAATCACAAGAAAGAACAATAGAAATTACAGGTTAGTGAATGTGTAAGATAAACATACCTAGAGCAGCACAGATAATCTTATTCTTTTTTTTTTTTTTTTGAGACGGAGTTTCGCTCTTGTTACCCAGGCTGGAGTGCAATGGCGCAATCTCGGCTCACCGCAACCTCCGCCTCCTGGGTTCAGGCAATTCTCCTGCCTCAGCCTCCTGAGTAGCTGGGATTACAGGCACGCGCCACCATGCCCAGCTAATTTTTTGTATTTTTAGTAGAGACGGGGTTTCACCATGTTGACCAGGATGGTCTCGATCTCCTGACCTCGTGATCCACCCGCCTCGGCCTCCCAAAGTGCTGGGATTACAGGCTTGAGCCACCGCGCCCGGCCAGAATAATCTTATTCTTAAAGCACTGTGAGTCAATGAATAAATAGAAGAATTAAGTTCATGTTTCAATAGTAAGAGTGTTCACGAATGAAAACGCTGGAGGCTGGGTTAGACTGGGCAATTAGAAACCAGATAAAACGGGCCAGTGACTTTTAGAGGGGATTTCGCAGAACGTCCTGGTATTAGGGCTTTTTATCTTTGCCGATCACCTATTTGTGCTAGTTCCTATTTTTGAACTTCCTTATTCAATTCCACATCTCAGCCATTTCTTTTGGATTTTAGACATTTATTTGAAATTCTAGAACTCTCTCAGGGAGTTCCAATTTTCTAACTGGAACCAAGTTTCACACGACCATCATCCTTTATTCCAAGCCTGCTGTTCCCATGATCCTCTTAAAAATCTGAGTTTCTGAAACACGTAAACATACCTGAGTATCAAAATGGCCTCTTTCTCTCTCTCTATATGGACACATACCTACAATGCACACATACTCCCACCTCTGAGCTGAGCCAAAAGCCACCTTCCCAAATATTGGAGTCTGGCTTTATCAAAATATCTGTGTATTATCAAAAGTACAGATTCGTAGGCTCTACAATACAGCTTCTAATCTACACCTCTAGAGGGCAGGGTCTTGGATTATTATTATTTTTTAAAGAATTTGCAAATCAGATGTGAAGGCAGTTTGGGGGACCTCATCATGGCAATACTATGTTCTTCCATAAACTTATAACCTCTATCTTCTACTCCTTTAAGAAGTAACTTTAAAAATCTTACATACATACCATCCTTGGAAGTGCTTTGTCTAAGAAAAATGAGAAATTACTTGCAAAAGAATACACAAATGGGTAAATACGTAAAAAACCTCATCACATTAGGAATGTCTTCATTCAAATGAAAGGTGAAGTCTAAGCTCATGTTTATCACTGTACTGTTTTCTAAAAAACAATAACAAAAAAAAAAATAGAAAAAACAAGTCCTAGAAGAACTATGGCAGTAAGTTAAACGGGTAGGATGGGGTGTTCTTAAGCAGTTCTAAGGTATTTGTAAAGAGACAACTTATGGTTTATTGATTCTAAAATTCACTTTTCTTTTTTCACATTATCTCTGAAATCAGATTATACCATACAAATGATACCATCTTACAATGAACTGTTGGTATTTTTCTGTCTTAGCAGTAACAAAATTATAGCATTTGCTACAATCAGAGTAGATTAAATACTATAAACATGAATTTTCCTCTTGTCATCAAAGACCATTTCTCTAAAAACTTCACTTAGGAAAAAAGCTGCTAGTCTGGTTTGAATTTCGCAATACATAAAAGCAATGAACATATTTTGCTTTTTTTTAAAAAAAAATCCGTAATTATTAATTCAAGTTACCACTCCTCAACAAAAAACGTACAAGATTCTCACATATGTAGTCATTACTTTCTGGGCTTGATTTCTAAACTAAGAAGTGCATGAACTCTAAGGGTTCTTTTAGCTCTTAAAGCCTAGGATCCCATAATTATATTTATCAATATTAAGCTTACCACAAAGTTTCTTATTTCTTCTTTTCTACCCAATCCTGCTCTACAGTTCCAAAATTAGCAAGTCTTAAGAAAGTGGCCAATGGTTTGTTTACTGTGATATATAACAATGAGGCTTAAAAAGCAAAGGAGATCCTTGGGAAATAAGATCTTAAAAAACTCATCACTACTTTTGAGCTTTCATATGAGAATAATCTTAAACCACTTTCTGCATTTGGATCCAGTTTTCAAGATTTAGAAAATCCACTCGTTTTCAAAGACAGAGTGACCATTATATAATACAACCAATAATTTGTAGAACACATTTATAAACTTGGACAGGAACAACAAAAGTATAATACTTATATTTAAGATCAGAAATGTCCATGTGTCCCCTATGGTATATGATATCATTTTTTTTCAGTCACTTTTAAAATGAATTCACTCAACTATATCATGATCTCCCCATTATTAGGTTTTTAATCTAGCAGCCCAACTTACCCGGACAAGTGCATCATCTATGATATGGTCACGTCTAACTTTGAGTCTCAAATATGGATTCAACTGCTGTCCTTGAACTAAGCTGTAGAGAACAGTGATTCTTCGTTCACTGTACATGCGAATTCTATTGTCATAATATAATCCCAAATTCTTTGTGACAGCATTCAATATAAAGGGACATGTCATAAAAGAGAATTTGTTCTCTGTTTCTACTTTGAAAAAAGTATAATCTTTATCCATTTCTAGAACCTCATTGAGTGGTTCATTAATAAACTCTTCAAAAGGGATAAGTGGTTTTCGACAATCCAGGGTTTTAACACCAAGTTCAGTTTCCAGGGGGTCCACTCGAGGACCTTTCTTGTTTCTTCTTTCTTCTCCCAAAAGCTCCTGAAGTGTCAGCTCACTGGACTCAGGGATGGGCTCTTCATCATCTTCTTCATTGTGATTTGTGTCCACTTCCCCTCCTACTACGTTTGCATAGTAAACCATTTTCAAGCACTTAGAAGCAGCAACAATGGCATCATCATCATTCACTAGATTTCGACTGTTAAATTCATTGCTTATGACTTTATAAGTAATAAGTTGCTGAAATGTCTCCATCATTCTCCGAATCTGGTCTGCATTGTATTTAGACCACAGTCTGATCAGTTTTCCTTGGGCTGCAAGGGGTAGCTTGCTCATTGCTTTGCAAAATAATGGCAATGCCATTTCCAGATATTCAGGACTGTGGAGATTTCTATTCTCCATTACAATAATGAACAAATTCAGATAATTAGGATCTCGAGAGTATACGTTGTGATACGTCAAGTCACATTCCACATTAGGTGACAAATACACAAGTGCATTGAGAAAGGCAGTTTCAATTTTTTCATTAGAGAGCAATCTGGTGTACACCCTTCTAATGGCATCAATATCCACAGATACATCATCAGGGCCTAATTTTTGCAAATTGTTGTCTCCCTGTGAGCTGTCACCTATCCTGGAGGAAGATGCTTCTGAGTCTTCTTCCATAGCAGCAGCAGAGCATGCAGCTTTTTCCTTTTCATCTTCATCCTTGTCTTCATCCTTAGCTTGAAGAGATTTCAGTTCTTCCTTGGTGTGTTGTTTAACTTTCCGGAAGCTCTGTACCAATGCCTCAGCACTAGAAAAAACTCTTCCAATCACACGGATTAAAGGGGAATAATCCTCTCTTTCTCTACATAATTCAAGAATTTCATATACCTTCTCTTCTGTTAAGTAAGTCACATCTAGAAAATTAGAAGAAAAAAGAAAATAAATGTTCTCATAATATGCATGCTTACTCTGTTGCAAAAAGTTCTAAAAGTAAAACAGCCAGATATTCTAGACTCAATATAATTTGATACACAACTCTGATTCAGCAAATAAAATTTAATGCTTACCTTTTTCAATGAACTACCTATACCAATGTCCTCACTCATGCGTTTACATTCTTCCAACAATGCATAACTCTTAATAAGATCATGATCTTAAACGCTCTTTATAATCAAGATATCTATTAATGTATAGCTTTAATTATAAAAATGAACCAATATATCATGTCCTGATTCATCATAATACAGCTCTTAAAATCTCACCGTAAAACGGACAGAAATACTACTAGTCTTCTTTGAGTTTTCTTGTTTTACTCCTCTGTTCTCAAAAGACTAAGGAGGCAAGGTTAAGACCTTGCGAAGGTTAAGGTTAAGACAGTGCGAAGAAGGCAACTTATAAGCTGGCAAGCAGTACAGAGACTATGCAGTCACCAAAAATCTATTTCCTCTTTTCCGGGGCACAGAGTTGAACCACATTTCCCAACTTTTTGAGATAAGTGTTATTTTCAAGCCAAGGCTTTTACCCTTCTGGCTAACAGGATAAAAGATATTTGTGCCAAATATACTCTTATACATGTACTGTACAACATGTAGAATTTTTAATGACTCCCACCTCTGCTTTAATATATCTGTTTCACGATAAAAGACAATATAAAATGTAAGTGATCACTGAATGAGTGGTCTCCAAAAATCGAACCACAAAAATACCAAATTTTATCATACTGAGGATCTGAACTGTAGCCCAGCTGCAAGAGTGCCAACACTTCCACAGTTTCTTTTATGGGCCTTAATGCTTTAAGAACTAATTCTCAGGTCTGTTCTATTAAGAATACATAAGCATCTTTTGCTAAATATCAGTCACCTCTTCCCCAAAAGTGTATAACCACTGCTGTTTCTCATTATTTTCATTGAAAAATTTTATAATACCTTCTTACAAGACAATGCAAAACCCCTACCTAATTTCCTAAAATGTAACAGAAAATGCTACTATCCTATTAGGACACAAGACACTTTGCTTCCTGAGCAAGTCATAAGGTTAACAAAGACTTGCTTTGCATGCAGTAATATGGCCTGTCCTAGGGATCACCATTCTAGACCCACATGTCCTTTGTTGATATGTCATGCTTTCGGGACATTTTCAAGTGATTCTGACAGTCTACTAATTCTATCTGGAATGTACTTATACTTTTTCTACCTAGATGTAAATGAGTCAAAAAATACTGTAATTAGATATGAACATTCATGAAGTTTGGGTATCAATAGAAAGAGGGGTTCTACTGAGAACATATTAAACAAGACATGTTTGTAAAATTTCTTGTGATAAATGTGTGTTCCTGAACATAATTTCAATCTTTTAAATTTTGCACTTAAAAAACTCATGGAAAAACAGAGTGTGGCAGACTACTTAACACCTATGCAATTCTGTAATTAGTTCTAACCATAATACTAGTGTAGATAAAGCATCTCTAATTCCTAACATACTACATAACATTGGGAAAAAAGTAAAGAACAGGGAATAGCATATTAGAAAGTAGGTATAAGGAAAGGTCAAAACTGCTAACTGATGTAGACGTGAGCAAAAAGAAGAGGGGGCGTAAAGACTGGATAGAGCCACGCAATAAGTGCCTCTAAGATGGAGCACGTCATGTACCACATCCACTCACAGTGGGCTGCATCCTACTGTGCCAGCACTCTACATTCCATTACTGGTAAGCTGTGGTGCATACTTACTGGAGAACTGTGTATGATCAAGTCAATGCAGCTTCCACATTATACCGACACATATATATATTGACAACATTGACCTATTTTTCCATAGTGTGTGAGCTAATTCACAAAATAGAACTATACATTCTGAAGCAACAAAGTTGTGTAAAGTGACGAAAATAATTTTATTGTGGAAACAGAGTAGCGGTTGTAACACAATGCCACTTCACTAATTCTTTCAATCTTGATTCAAATGATGTTACCAGAAGTTTTGAAGGCAAATCCTCTAAAATTCTCACTTGTATGTGTCATAAACAAAAAGCTTTCTCTTTTAAAATACAATCACCTCTGGGTACGTAGGGGCATGGGGGGTGCTAGGCCCTGGTAGTCATTCAAAAATTCGATTAACTTGTTACTAATTACCTTCACTGAGGAAAATAACTTACAGTTTAGTATTAGCAACAAGGTAATCGAATTCTCAGGTTTGGACATAGGACCATTTAGAAAACAGAAGACCTGAGCCTGAGTGAAGACTGCCATTGGTGAGTCATGATCCTTGGCAGCATAACTGTACCAAATGTCTGGGAGGAGTGAGAAGCATATATCAGAAGGACATGTAGAATTATTTCTCACATAACTATGAAAAATTTTGTCTTGCCTTCAAAAATGGAAAAAAACACTGCTTCCTCTTTCTGATTCTTTCGCATCATCATCTGAGGTTCCAGAACTCATGCCAGATACTTAGTCCAGTTATTCTAAACTTACATAGGCTTTGTGGACTAGTTTTGGAGATTAACTACCACTTAATACATTTATCCTAAGAAATTTTAAAAGTTCAAATCTATTAACCTTTTGGCATATGCTCTGCTTTTAATTAGCAACAATTAGACCTGTAAAATATAGTTAAGTCATCAATTCAATTATTACTCCTGTCCTTTACCACAGTGAAAATTTGGTTCTACTCTATCAAAACGTCTTAATGTCACATAAGAAAAAACAAATAAAAATGTAAAAACAAATTTACACTGAAATCTCCTATATGGTTTTCAGCCAACAATTATCAAAAATAAAACATCTTACCTTTAAAATCAATTCTAGCGCCTTTCTTGTTCATTTTTATCTCAGAGCAGGAGTTGTTAGGGGCACCTTTCGAGTTCTCAAGGTAAGCTGAGCTTGCTCCTTTCTTGGAGGGATGAGGATCACAGAGTTTTGCATTAATCTTATAAAGCTCGAGGGCTTTAATAGCTGCTGCATTATTATCCATACGAAGAAAAGTTGGACAGGAAGCACAAAACTCATTCGTGCAGGCCTCATTTCCACAGCCCTCAGTTAACTGGTGGTAGTAGCGTTCTATTAGATGCTTTGCAGCTGCTCGCTTCCTGTACCAAACATTCAAACAATAAGCACAGTGATTAGTACAGCTCTCATGTACAAAGCTCAACAGATTATCAAGGCAAAAGTTAGTCAAGCACTGAAGTAATAAACCTGTGTATTAAGATGAAAAGTAGATGCATTATTAGCCTACAACTTCTGACTAGTGAAATAGTTAATAAATATTTTCTAGGCTATTGTGATAAAGAATGTCATTTGTTTATCTGACTGTATTGTTTTAACAGAGTATACATCCCTTTGGTTTAAAAGTGGGGAGGGGAGCTTCTCTGATGGTGTATGTGCTTAAGCTGTTTAGCACAGCAGCTGAAAAATCACAAGGTTTACAGCTAAGAGTTTTAGGATTCTATCATTTTAAAAATTAGCATTAAGAAAATGACTCTATTTAAAGCATCAATCCAGTTTTCCCTTACATAACCATTACTTCATTTTTAACAGTTTGTAAATATTTGACTTATAGTTAACACAGAATATCTATCTGGAATAAAAACTATTTTTTCCCCAAAAATGAGACTTAAAAATAAATTTTTAAGTGAAATATCCAAAGCTACTGTTACACTAAAAGAAAGTGGCTGCAGGCTCGGTGAGGTAGCTCATGACTGTAATCAATGCCATAAATTTGGAAGGCGGAGGCAGGCAGACTGCTTGAGCCTAGGAGGTCAACACCAGCCTGGGCAACATAGTGAGGCTACTCTTTACAAAGCTTTTAAAAAATATTAGCCAGGTGCGGTGGCATACACCTGTAGTTCCAGCTACTCGGGAAGCTGAGGTGGGAGGATCACTTGAGCCTGAGGGTCAAGGCTGTCGTAAACTGAAATCGGACCACTGCCCTCCAAGCCTGAGCGAGGAACTAGACTTTGTCTAAAAAAAAAAAAAAAAAAGAAAGAAACAGAAAACAAACTGGCTCCAAAGTATACAATCTTAAATCTAAAACTTGTCACTAAACCTTCTCTTTAGCTCCACATCACAAGATGGAACACTTTAAGTTCCATTATGCAAAATCTTATATTCTTTTTACTCTGTGAACTTAGCGTACACAGATTAATGTCCTATTATGACGGTTCGGGAGAGCTACCAAGACTGAGGAAGGAATTATGTGATCAAGTAAGAAGTTAGATGACATTATCTCTATATTCAGCACGAAAGAGTCTATGCTTCTACTAATTGATGCTATGAGATTATCATAATTTAAGTAGAATAAACTACTGGATCCAAAGAAACATTAAGTCACAGCTATTCTTTTTGGTCCCAAATTCACAAGTATGGAAATAGAAACTACAAAGAATCAAAACTGTAAGGAAAAATAATTCAGCTAATTTTCAAAACAGTCACAGAATCGTCATACTAACATGTAGGACTAAATAACCAATGGCATGGAGTTTACATCGTGTTCATCATGAGAAACTCAACAACAAGGCAGCTAATAAGTGATGAGACACGGCAGTCCAATTTTGTCTAAAAAGAAGGACTCTGACTCTCTAAACTATCCAGGTAGGTGACAAAAAGTGATAATTCACACACATTCAATTCACATTCTGGTGCTTATATTTTTTCAAATGTTCCATGCAAAATACCACTCACTGCATGCAAACAGAGAAAAAAGAAAACCCACAAAGCACAAGTAAAAATTGCATAAGCATGACTTAAAGACATTTTACTATCTATGAAGCTATAAACAACCCCACCTGAAAATTAAAAACTTATCACAGATGCATCACTATGTAAAATATGAAAATGAAAACATGTAAAAATACAAGGGGAATGCAGAATCCAGAAGGTTTAAAACACAGATTGCTATTCTTCGGTAAAGAAAGGGAGATAATGTCATGTTCTCCCAAACTACAGTGACTTCCCTGGTGAAATGTAAATAGGTAATCCTTTCTGTAGGAAAATAGTGAACATGTATCAAAATCTTAAAAACATGAACACTGTATGAATGAGATCTTGTGGGAAATAATTTGACAATTTTACAAAAGTGCATTGTTTCTGTATCTGAAAAAAATCAACATGTCTAATAAAAGATTACTTAAATGAACTAATGGATCACACAGTAAAATTAAAACTATCAAGATTTGAATTGGATAAGGAATAGTCTTCCTGATCTATCACCTACTGACAAAAGTCAGTTACAAAATAGCAGGCGTAGGATGAACCCATTGTTATTTCAAAGCATCAATAGTATTTTCTCTGGTTGATGTGATTAAATGAGTTATAAAACTTCTTCCATCTTTTGATTTCTTATTCATTCCTTCTATATTAAAGCATGCTGCTTGCATATGAAAAATTAATAAATATGATAAAAGGAAAATGAGCAGTTTTAAACTTGATCTACATGATTTGGATGGCCCCAAGATTTACAAAATTGTCTCTGATTTTTAAAAAATTATCAAAGTCAAAATACCAAAATACTCAAGATACATTTTAAAGTGAACTTCTGTACTAAAATAACCTCCCCAAAACTTGTCAGATAAATAGTACTTCTTTATATACTACATAGGAGGAGAGTGACCATCACAAACAGAACAAGACTGAAAAATCAGAAGACCTGCATTAAGTGTCATCCATCTGTCTCTAAGTAGTTGTTAGATCCTAGGGAAATAATTCTCTGGGCCTCAGTTTTCCCACCTGTATGAGTCCCTTCAGTTCTAATTCTAAAATTATTCTATGTAACATGGAGATGAGCAAGAAACTAGTATTTGTTGGATGCCTGGTAACATACTAGACACACTGCTGGGCACTCTGACATAGGTCATCTCATTTGAAAACCAAGACGTTGAGGATTATCTTCAGTCCACAAGCCAAAGACAGAAACAGAACTGGTGTCAAATCATGAAACCACCATCACAAAGAAAGTACAGAACTAAGGCCAGAATAGGAGTCTTTCAGCTTCAGAGTCCAAGTCATTTTGACTATATTGTTTTGCAGAAGGTGATTAATTTCAAAATAGTTTTTTAACAGTAATAATGACGAATTTTATGGGAAAAAAAAATCTCATAACTTATGTGCAACTGAGAAAAAAATCTGAAGAATCATAATGTGAATCTCACATTTATGCATATATTTGGTATCACAAAGGTAGACCAAGCTTCTTGAAGAAACAGAACCAGTATATTCTGTAAAGTTAATTTATCTCTAATTTGTTGAGAACCTGTGTGCTATGCATTTTATAGACATTCCCACTTTAGAAGGGAATAAACCTTAACAGTTAAGAGCTTGCATTCTGAGGCCAGATGCCCAAGTTCACATGATGGCTTTACCTCTTAATTAACCATATGACCTTGAATGAGTTACTCGACCTTTCTGTATGTCAGTTTCCTCATAATTGAAATGGTAGTATCTATAAGCATTATCATGATGAGAATTATTATTTCTCACATTATCAATTGTGAGAGAAGTGTGTGTGTGTGTGTGTGTGTGTGTGTGTGTGTGTGTGTGTAAGTGCTTAGAACATTGCCTGGCACATACTAAGCAATATGAAACTGTTAGCTACTACTATGATTGTTGTAATTATAATTATTACCCTCACAAGTGTATGAGTTAGCACTATTTCATTCCGCTGATGCTCAGAGAAATTACATAAGTCGGTCATACATCTAATAAGAGATCTGAACCCAGCTACTAAACTTTAGCTTTTAATAACCATTAAGAGAAGGGTTTGAAAGTAGCCACCTGTATTTGATCTGCTTCTCTGTGACAAGTTTACAAATAACAGCTACACTGTTGAGACAGGACTACAGGAAGCCACGCCAGAACTTCCATGTTGATGGTGCAATCAACTGTATTAAGCATCCTTTTTTTCCTCCAGTGACACCTTAATTTATCTGACTGCACCTGTATTATTATCTAATTTAGGGCTGTAAAAGGCACACAAAATTTAGAGCACATAAAAGGCCTCTATGTTGAAATGTATACACTAAAAATGACTTTTTGTTATAGTTCCTGTGCAAGGTTAATTCTTATACCATATGGGTCACTAAATCATAGCTCATGAATCAAGCTGAGTCTACTACCTGTTTTTATATGTCTCTCAAGCTTAGAGTATTTTACATTTTTAAATGGCTGGAAAAAGTTTGAAAAAGATTATTTTGTGACATGAAAATGATATAAAATTCAAGTTCCAGTTTCCTTCAAGTATACTGGAACATACCCAAGTTCGCTGATTTATAAATATACTATATATGATATGGTTTGGCTATATGTCCCCACCCAAATCTTCTCTTGAATTATACTCCGATAATGCTCATGTGTTGTGGGGGGGACCCAGTGAGAGAGAATTTGAATCATGGGGTGGTTTCCCACATGCTGGTCTTGTGGTAGTAAGTCTCATGAGATCATATAGTTTTATCAGGGGTTTCTGCTTTTGCATCCTTCTCATTTTCTCTTGCTGCCACCACGTAAGAAGCTTCTTTCACCTTCCGCCATGATTCCGAGGCCTTCCCAGCTATGTGGAAGTCCAATTAAACCTCTTTTTCTTTCCCGTCTTGGGTTATGTCTTTATCAGCAGCATGAAAACGGACTAATACAATATACTATATAGTTTATGGCTGTTTTTTGTATTACAGTTGCAGAGTTGAGTATTTTGACCCTGCAAAGCTTAAAACATATACCACCTGCCCTTTATAGAAAAGGTTTGCCAACCCTTAATGTAGGATCTATTATCTCTGCCCTCCAGTAAGTGACTCTGCCATCTACTCATTTGGCCTCTTAACTCTCTCCTTCCCCTCAGCAAATAAGTAAAATAAAGGCATACCTTTCCCCAAGTATTATATTATTAAATAAGAGGAGAGGGAAAAAGGGAAGAAGAAAGTGAGGAAAAGGAGAGGACACAAAAGAAAAAGAAGGAAAGAGGAAATTCCCTGGTGAGGTCCCTTTAGAATGCCTTATCAGCTGTTCATAATCAAAATTCCTAGAAGAGAACTATAGCTTACTTGCTATAATTTCTTCACACTCCATTGACTTTTCTTCTTACTCAGAAAACAAAGTACTTTAT